TAACAACAAAAGCTCCAACTCAAATATTTTGTTTTGTTTTCCCTTTAACTTTAGTATAAGGTTGATGACGTTGTGATATTACTAAAGCGGAGCAGCGGAGGGAGAAAATTGTCGTACATTTGTTTTTGACAGGCTTAAATATCTTGCTTTATTGCATTATACATTCAAACGCATGTACATACATATATATTCGAACACAAACGGAGGGGGGACAAAAACTTATGTTCAATAACACCCCCTTGGAACATACGTTCAGACGACAAATTCACCCCCCAACCAATGCCGAGGTGGATGGCATGGATGACTGGCTGGCTGGCAATCCCCCAATAAAGATTTAAATGTGATAAAGCCATGCTAGAATAACAACACCCATTAGAGACTCCCAACCACCCACACACCAACACAGACATAAAATCAGGAACGTGAAAAAACTCACAATTCGACTACAAACGCTGGAAAAGTAAATACCCCACAAATGTGGCGCATAACACCCCCACATCAGAAATTCCACAAATGTAAACCCTATTCCCCCGAAAAATTCACTCTCTCTCTCTCTCTTCTCTTTGATCTTTTGGAGCAAAGAAACAGTGTTGCCGTTTTGATGGTTTTCAAAATCGCCTGCTTTAATATGAATATTATGCAAAATTATTAAAAAAAAATATCTAAGCCATAGAAATATAAAAACCCACAATTGCAAAGCTCTAAATTTTCGTTTTATACCAAATTTAATAAAAAAAAATCCTTTGGCAATGGCCATAAAAGTTTCGTGGCAGTTGCCAAAAAAAAAAAAAAAACACCGAAATTCAAATATAATGCGAAAATTATGTAAAAATCCTAAAGCCTAAATACAACAATAAGCCCACCATTTTTTGTTGTTGTTATATTTGGTGATGTGCGTGTTGTATTTGCCTTTGGGGATGGGGTTGGGTTGGGAAACGGAAATCATTGTCCTACTGTTGCCACTACTAACATCGGCAGTTTGGCCTGAATGGGTGTGATTTAAAATAAAATTAAATTTCACAGAGGGTTCTATGAAACACTTTCTTGTGTTTCTCGTCATTGTTGTTGTTTCTTGTATACAAAGAACAAAAATATTCAAATTCCTTAAATGTTTGTTTTCCAGCCAGCAGCAGAGTAGGAAAGAAAAAAATACACGCCTTAATATCTTTTGCCATTTTTTAAGACCCTTTGAATATGTAATTCAGGCAATGGCGTTTAACTGAAAGTTTGCCAGAGTAGAACTGGAAAAAAACATGTGATTTTTATGTAATGGCTGCGGGAGGAAGGTGGAGCGTTGAAAATGCCAGTAAAAAAGATTTCGAACTGCAATTGACAGTTTTTTAAATGGAAATTAAATTATTTTTTTTTTCGTTGCTTCCTTTCTTTTGCCTTTTTTTTCATATTCTATGCGAAAAAACACATTTCACTCGCATAGCAATAAAGCAGCCCGAAAAAAATAGTAAGAAAATTGAAAAAGTTTTCTTTTTTTTTTTGATAAATGAAAATATAAGGAAAATATTTGTGTTTAAGACCTGGGTGATTTTGTTACTTCGCAATATGCATTTTAAAACAATTTATTTAACAATAAAAAATAATTTAACTTAAAATAATGTATAGCGGAGTCATATTTATTATTGGCCATTAATGACTTTTAATGTCTTCAGTAGTAAATTACAATTTTAATGACTTTTAATGTAAAGTGGCGCCCAATGTTTTTAATATTGTTTTTTGAACTTCCAGCAATTTTTTTTGATTTATTTTAAAAGTGACAATATTATTCCTATTTCAAAATTCCTAACAATTTGGCATATATTAATATTCTGTTATTTTAAAGTAATAAATAATAGTGCCATTGTTGGTGTTTTTTGGGAAGAAATAATTGAATTGTAAGCTAAGGAGAAAGGCGAGAAATAATTGTATTGTAAACTAAGGCGAAGGACAGACATGGTTAAATTTTAGTAGTATTTTCCGAATAGTTTTTAATCGTTTAAAATTCTTGTTCTTCTAACTAAATTAAAAATTGTTTTGCAATTAATTATTAAGTGGCGCCCAACGTGCTTTGGTATTCCTCAGGAATCTTTTTTAACAAAACCCTAATTTTTTCTATATTTTCAATGTCATATTTTATTATTTTCATTCTATCAGAAACTAAAATTCTGTTCAAAGAAAATTTACAATTTCAGCCAAAATTTTTAGGATTTCCTCTCCCATCTCTTGAAATTTTAAACATTTTCACTAATACCTTATTAGATTTCTATTAAACGTTAACAATTTGTCTCCGATTGATTGGAGCTCATTAATTTTCCCTTAGGTTCTCCACTCTCTCCCAAAAAAGAAAAGAAAATTCTTCTATTGTCCCAAACTCCATTTGTATTGTTTCGCCGAGGCCCATTTTCAACGCCCCTCCCTATTCTCATTTCATTGTTGTATTTCTTTTTGTTTTTTGGTGTTTTTAACAATGACATGTCAAATGTCATTTCAACTAAGACTCATAAATTATTTCAGCTACCCTCTCCCTCTCTCATACTTTGGCATTGGGTTGAAGAGCCAAAATAGTAGTGGTTGTTATTGCTAGTCTACCTCTACTTTTTATTTTGGACACAACGTTTTGGAATGCATCACCCAAGTTAAATAGCGTTAAAAATTAATTTGCCAAGGGCTCTTGAGCGAGTCTGGTGTAATTAATTATAAATACAATTAAAATAGAGGGGAAAAGAAATAAACGAAAACATTTAGAGGTGTCTGTCTGCTGGAGAAAAAGAGAAATTATGGGGAGAAATTTGATTTTTTGAATTTTTTTTTTTTTTTCATAAAATTTAATTAAAACAAAAATTATCAAAAAAAAAAAATAAAAAAAATTAAATTATTTGATTTTTTTACAAAATCTCCACTAAGTTGGAATTACAATTTTCTTAAAGAAATAGGACTTTTAAATACTTCTTTACATAAAATCGCTTTAAATTAAAAGTGGCGCCCAACGTTTTTTAACGAGAAGTTGTATTTTTTTCTCTTTTAAAGGCATATAATTTTCGTCCACTTCAAAATATCCCATTAAATGTCTAATGACATTCAATAAAAATTGGCGCCCAACGTTTTGCGAGATATTGTATAAGGACAAATCCTTTCTAATTCCAAATATCCCATTAAATGTCTAATTAAGGTCAACTCCTTTACAATTCTAAAAAATATTTTTTTACCGTTGTTAAATTGAAAGTGGCGTCCAACGTTTAAATAGCGAGAAATTGTATTTTTTTTCTTATTTTTAAAGAAAAGATTACAATTGTCAAGTCTTTTATTAAATACATTTATAGCTCTCCTAATTACAGAAATTCGAATTCCATTCCTTGATACCCAAAAGAGAAATATATATTTAGTGGCTTCTGCATCGAAAAATGCCAACTTTACGAAGGTCTCATTGTAATTTTTTCGATAATTGCACATAATTTATTTTAAATGTTTCTTCTTTTTTTGAGATTTTTCAATTAAAAGATTTTCAATGTCAACGCTTGTCTATATCTCAATATTTTTGGTGCTTGGAAGCTTAAGGCTTTTATTTTTTATTTTTTTGTGATATGCCAGCCACAACTTTCCATTGTTATCGATTGTTGATAAATAATATTTTAACAGCCATAATCCGATTTAAACTTTAAAAATGTCAAACGATATACAACAAGGGAACAGCACAACGGGTACCCCAATAATGATGACAACAACAAAACAATATGGAAAAAAAATTAAATGCCCCACCAAAATAATCCGCAAGTGTTGAAATTTAATAAAAAGGCCACGCATACATATTATTATTATTATTTTTTTTTTTTTTTTGAAGTAGAACAGTTGATGTTTTATGGGAGAAGTAAATTTTTAATTTAAATAAAGAAAAATAATATTTTATTATACATTATAAAAAATAAATATGAAAACTCGCCCCTTGAAAATTTTGTGTAATTTATGGCCTCTAAATTCACTTGTCGGAATGGGGGTTTTGTTTTGTTCCACTTTGATTTTGATAAAGGTCTGATTCCATCTTTTATTTCTTCAATCAAATGTAATTAAATGATATTTTTATAGATTCTCAGAATTTTGTCGCTCTTTGACTTTTGATTTTAGTTTCATGCCTTTGCCTCCTTCAATTTTCCGTCGTATTGTTTAATCGATAAATTATTATCCAACTTTGTTTCACCACCACCATTCTGGGAGAAAAATAAAAAAAGGAATATCCTCCATCGCTGACCTGTTACACCTTTTACAGGTGTTAAATTATATTTTGCTATTTCAATAACCATATTTTCTCTCCCCTCTCAGTCCCGGACGCCGGACTTTTGTTTTCATCCCAACAAAACAATGGAAGTCACAAACACACACACACTCTCGTAAAAGCAAAGGGCCCTTTTTCCAATAATTTATGGCATTTTATTTTAGTTTCTTTTTTTTTGTTCGTTACACTACAACCTCCTTTGTATCTCTAAATGACAGCGTTTATTGTTTACATTGTGGCAAAGCGTATTAAATTAAACAAGCGCTACGAAAAATAACATAAATAGTCACCTTTTTTTATTCTTCTTCTGTTTCTGCTGCTGCTCCATAAAAAATAGTTGGTACTACATAAATAATGTCATTTATTTGACAAAAGGACGCAATGTTATGTGTTTTTTTAGTTTTGGATATTGAAAAATTATTTAAATTCTTGTGAGCACACCCTTTTTTAGTTGTTTTACTAGTCACCATGTCACCCAGTTATTTGTAGTTGTTGTTGTTTTTGCTCTTCCTTATTGGGTTTAGAGTTTCAGGCGCCATTGTTATTTTCTTCTTCACACTGTTGTCTCATTAATCACATGGAAGTGTTGCCATTATGGATTTTAAATGTTCTTGTTTTTTAGGAGGGGGTTCAAATTACTCAGGCATGCGACAAACTCTTTAAAAAAGCAACTAATCGAGAAGAGTTATTTATTTTTTTATTAATTTATATTAATTTATGTTCTTTTTTTATTTATTTCCAGGTGAAAAACCCTTCAAATGCGAACATGAGGGCTGTGATCGCCGTTTTGCCAATTCATCGGATCGTAAGAAGCATTCGCATGTCCATACATCGGATAAACCCTACAATTGCCGCATTAATGGCTGTGATAAATCCTATACTCATCCATCATCGCTGCGCAAGCACATGAAGGTAGGTTTTCAAAAAAAAAAAAAAAAAAAAACAAAAAAAAAATATTTTGTAAAATTACAAAAGTGGCGCCCAACATTTTTTCAAAAAAAAAAAAATAAATAATTTTTTTACTAAATAAAATAATGAATAAATTAACAAAAGTGGCGCCAAGCGGCTCTTCAAAAATTTAGTTTTTTTTAATTTTTTTTTCTAAATAAAATATTAAAGCAAGTGAATAAAAGTGGCGCACAACGTTTCTTCAACAATTTTTATTTGTTTTTTCTTTAATTTTTCTAAATAAAATAATAATGATATTAAAATGAGCAAAAATTGCGTCCAACGTTTCTAAAACAATTTTGATTCTTTTTTTAAACTTTTACTAAATAAAATACTTAGTAAATACTTAAGTGAATAAAAGTGGCGCCCAACGATTCTTCGAAATGTTTTTTTCACTTTTCTAAATAAAATAATGGCATTTATATGAAGCAAAGAGGCGCCCAAAGTTTCTAAAGCAATTTTGGTCCTTTTTTTAATTTCTATTAAATGAAATACTTAGTAAATATTTAAGTGATTAAAAGTGGCACCCAACGTTCCTTCAACAATTTTTGTTTGTTTTTTTTTTTTAATTATTCTAAATAAAATAATAAAGACATTCAAGCGAACAAAAGTGGCGCCCAACGTTTTTCAAACATTTTTTTTAATTTTTATAAATAACAAAAACATTTTTTTATGTTTTTCTAAATAAAATAAACATTCAAGTGAACAAAAGTGGCGCCCAACGTTTTTCCAACAATTTTTAAATATTTTTTGTTTAACTTTTTACTAATTCCCAACATTTTTTCTCTTGCTTTTCTCCAGGTTCATGGTAACATTGATGAAAAATCCCCATCCCATGGCTATGACAGTGAAGGCGAAGAGTCCTCCTCTTCGAGCATAGTGACCGGTGGTGCCCAGACACCACCTTCGGCCCGTCTTACCAGCGATAATTCATCCGGAAATGGCAGTCTAAATAAATCCTCACCGCATTCCATTAAATCTGAACCCGGTCAGCCCAGCACAACATCTATGCATAATGTCCACCTGGGAGCCTCATCGAGTGGCAGCAGTAGCACAAACAGCAGTTCTCATCACAATCAGCAACATCACCAGCAACAACAATCATCATTGGCTAGCCAGCAACAGCAGCAACAACAACAGCAGTCACATCATCACCATCATCATCATTTAAATCATCACGAAAGTAAATCCTCGGCCTTGCAGCTGATGGCAGCTTCATCGGCGTATCTACCGCCACCATTGGGTCCACCGCCCTCACTGACGGCCGCCGGCAGTAGCCATCATCATGGACATCATCATCACCATCAGGGCATGGCCGGTTCGCCGACATCTTCGGCCAGTGGTAATGCTGCGGCCGCCTCAATGTTGGCCGTTGGTGGTCATCATCCCAATCATCATTTGCTCTATCATCCGGCGGCCCAACATCATGCTGCCACGGACTGGTATCATGCTGCCGCCCCAACAGCCGGTGCCGATGCCATGAATCCCCTCAATCATTTTGGACATCATCATCACCACCATCACCTAATGCATCCTGGTGCCGCTACAGCCTATTGAACATTGAAATGAAAGAGATTCTTAGGACATTGTAGGTCTTTGTGTTTTAGGAAAATTTTTCATTAAGCCCCCCCCCTCAACCCGCGCTTAGCTCTAAACAGGGTAAGCTGTTGTGTTTTATCGAAGGCTAAGCAAATCCAAAAGCATCTCAGAGAAGCTTAAAACAGATTTCAAAGCCAAAAAACACATGGAACAGTTCTCTCTCTCTCTTGCTCCCTCTAATATCTAGGCCAGTTAAAGGCATGGAGTTACTCACAGAATCCTGATTTCTTCTGATATCCCGCTCTCTAACACATCCACACAAATTTACTCTTTAGTGCTTTCTTTATGTTTTAAACGCCCATAAAAAAATCGCAAAAAGCAGCTACTATTCCTATTAAGTTTATATTTGTAAATTAAAGCCAAATATTTCCTCAAAAACGAAAAAACAAAAATTAATAAAAAAATTTATTGACAAAAATACTAAAAATTTATAAAATTAAAAATTCAACCTTTAATTAAATACCTGAACATTTAAAATATTACAAATAAAATGTTATTAAATTTAAGTTGTAAATATTAAAAACAAAAATAAATCTCCCCTCTAAGTAACGATATGTTGTACTCATTGAATTTGTATTATACACCTCCCTAAACAAATCACAAAATAAATAACTATAAGTTCCATAATATGCCTCCATTTGTCTCTATCGAGCCCCTCATGTCCCATACCACCTCATCCCTCACCCATAACACATTTAGTTACATACATTTATGCCTAAAAAATTTGATTAGTTTAGTTTACCATTGTTTTAGTTTTAAACGAGCTCTACATAAAATTTGTAAAAATTATACCGATAAAAATTATCATAAAATAATAAAAATTTAAACCAAGCTTATTAGTACAAACAAACAAAAAAACCGAAATTCTTTTTATTTAAATTTAAAAAATATAAAATTTTCAAATTGGGTGAAAAAACTCAATGCTCGGTTGTTAAAAGTTGGTTTCATCAACAATGCGATTTATTGTACATGCATATGTTTCCATTGAACCTGAAGATAAGATATTGAAAATTCCTTAAGAAGCAACAAAAAAAAAAATCAATAAAATTTGAAATCTAATATGGTTTTATGATAAGTCGATTGTTTGAGTTATCATAAAACTATATGAGAAGTAAAGTTGTATTAAAATTTAGTTTAATTTTTGAAGTTTTCAATTAAGTGAAATATACGTATATGCAGGGTGAGATAAAAAAACTGCAACAAAGTCAAACGCCATATTTTTTTACATTTTTTTAAATTTTATTGAATGAAAGCAAAAATGTCGGAAATAACATCAAATTTTAGAATAACTTTAGATTTGTTTGAATTGGTCACTTTGGCACGAATTATGGCCTTCAAACGGCCAATGAATCCGTCAGACGCTGGCAGAATGATGATCTGCGGTATTTTGGCCCATTCCCGGCGAACCACTTGCTTGAGGTGATCGACACTTTGGTTTTGTTTTAGTGCCAACCTTGCTTTCCAAAGTTCTCCAGACACAATAGTCCAACGGATTGGTATCCGGAGATTTTGGTGGCCATTGTGCGCTGAAAATGACGTGAGGAACTTCATTTTGTAACCATTCTTGGGTGGCGCGTGCTGAGTGGGATGGTGCTGAGTTCTGTTGGAATGTCCAAGGTCTGCGGCCAAAATGTTTGCGTGCCCAAGGCTTTCATACACCCTCCAGAATATTTTCGCGATAATATTCGGCATTTATTCTGATGTCACGGTCAATTAATACGAGCGGAGAGCGACCATCGGAGGTTATAGCGGCCCACTCCATCACCATGGCCGGCGCTTGAGTTCTGGTGGCCAACCGAAGGTACACATTTTCAGCTAACTTCTTTGGCAAGTAAACACCATCATTTTGTTTGTTTGCAAACTGCTGGACAACGAATCTATTCTCATCGGATAAAACCAAGTTCGGCAGTTCACCACTTTCAGCCAAGCGAAGCAACTCTTTAGCTCTTTAGAGTCTATTTTCTTTCTATTGATGTGTAAGTTCTTGCAATTTTTGGAATTTCAATGGCTTTACCCCGAGCTTATTTTTCACGAATGGAATAGTTCGATATGTTCAGCTCACGAGCCATTTTTCGGCCACTGCGACGCGGGTTTCGATGAAGTCGTTTCTTTACTTTTCGAACCATTTCTGCTGATGTTGCTGTTTTCTTCCGTCCGTTCTCCTTTGACGCCGGGCTACGTATCACGATAACGAGCGATGGTACGAGACACAAAAGATTTATTCACATTTAAATGCTGGAGTGCCCTATAACGATATCCACTTGTGGTTTTCCAGCCAAATATAAAAAAATCACACTATCACGCTTGAATTCCATCGCGAATAACTTTTTTTCTGGGAAATTCTCACCAAAATGCTTATGTACGCTTGTAAACAATATAATGAGCTGTCACTGGAATAATTTTAACAGCTGTCGGACAAGTGGCTTGGAAATGATAGCAGTCTGAAGTTGGTTGCAGTTTCTTCATCTCACCCTTTATATTGTAGTATTCATTGTAATTAGAAAGAAATAGCATCGAAATGGTTTAATATTTTTTTTATTTTTGCTTTAAATTAGATTTGAACTTGTAAAAATCACACAATTATTAAATAAAATAATGTTTTAGGACTTTGTTTTTTTTATTTTTATAATAAAATTTCAATACATTTTGATATCATCAACAATAAAAATGGTTAAAATCAAATTCTATAACCACACATAAACACTCTGAGTACTTTTTTGGTCTTAGTTATTTAATTTTTTCAAAACAAATTTCACCTCACTCCAATATAAAAATATTAAAATCTAAAGCGTTATAATTTAAAATTATTATTCATATTATAAACTTAACTAAAACAGAAACACACACTCTATAAATAACAAAAAAAAAAAAAAAAAAACAACAAATCCAATGAAAAAATATAACAACAAATATATTTAACAATCATTAAAGATCATAAAAAAGATAAAACAAAAAAGTAACACTGTATTTTTTTTTAAATGACCGTCGATGATGCTTCCACTCTGGGGTGTTTTCTGGATTTTGATTTTTTTTCTTTGACATTTTCTGTCGGTCACAACACTGAGCTCAGCTTCTTTCTGAATGGCGTTTGTTTTATACGAGTTCACAATCGTTTTTAATTGGTATTCCGATATATTCAATATATTTTATTGGTAAACTGAGATATTTTTCTTTGTTTCTTTTTTTCGCCGGCAGTAAATAAATGACTTGAGATAAAATCAAATCTTAAATTAGCAATTTAAATTGAAATCGTAAAAAAATATGAAAAGGTAATTTGAATTTGTTTTTGTAAATATTTTCTGTTTGTTTATTAGTGGATTACTTATTTTGATGGTTTGCTGTGCGGTTTTTATCAAAAATATTTATTTTTATTTTGAATTAGTTGAAATCTGTTGTATTGTACCGATTGTGAAGATTGTTGTGGATGGAAAATTGTCAGGCTCAATACCATTATTATTGATGTTATAAAAGCAAAGTTTTTTTTATTAATGAAGAAGAAGAATTTTGAATTTAGTAGAAGACTACAGACATATTCAATTTTATAGAATTAAAAACTTTGTCGTGGGCACCAGCTAGCCATACAAACGGACGGACATCGTTAGATCGACTCCAAATATATACGTACCTTCTCTTTTTAGCTGTGCCTTAATAATCTTCCCGATATTTTCTTTTATGCAAAGGGCTCAAACCTTAAATTGTAACATATCTTGTTTCATTAAAAATGAGGTTTTCTCCTTATACACATCTGATTGGGCGCCATATCAGAGAGTTCGAACTTCTGTTTATTTGGCATACACCCTCAAAAGTAATTTCTAATTCATACAGAGAATAATAGCTGTGATGAAAATCCCGAATGTCAAATTGCAGCTTATTTGGCTGGAAATATCGAAGATCGGAATGTACTGTTATAGGGGTCAATATTAGCTAATATTAAGAACCCGAATTGGTTGAACATTGAAAGGTAAAGGATAATCCTATTTTGCTCCAACTTTGCAAATCCTTATATTTACATCAGTGCTAGGTTAAGGTGAAAATGGACAATTTTGATCCACTCCATCCACTCCATCCACTCCCCACAAACGGTCAAAATTTTGAATAATTACAACTCTAATAAAATGTGGTGTAAAAGTACGGTTAAGATGGAACATATCGGTGCGCTCTTTCTGGTACCTTCCCCACAAACGATCGACATTTTAAAAAAATATAGTTCCTGCACAGAAAGAGAAACAATCAATCCGATTTTGCTCCAACTTTGCAAATCCTAATATTTGCATCAGTTCTAGGTCAGGTGCAAAATTGGATAATATCGATCCACTCCATCAAGTGCCTTTCCTTCAAAGGGTAAAATTTTGAATAATTATAACCCTTATAAAATATGATGAAAGAATCCGATTGTCTTAAAATGTCACACATCCCAATATTTTTATAAACCCAAGATCTTGTACCAAGATGGAACATATCGGTCCACTCCTTCTGGTACCTCCTCCATAAAAGGCCAACATTTTGAATATCCATCATATATGTTCATAAAATGCGAAATTACCATCCGATTCCATTTAGACTTGGCACATCTGAATATTTCCATCAACACAAGGTGTGTTATAATGATGGCAGAGATCGGAATACTCCTTCTGGTACCTCCCCCACAAAGGGTGAATGTTTTGAATAACCAAAACAATCATAAAATCCGAAAGAAGCATCCAGTTCTCTTCAAATTAGGCATATCACAATATTTTTATTAGCCCAAGGTCTGGTGTGAAGATGGTTACATGAGGTATGAAAATGGAATGCTTCGGTCGACTTAACCTGGTACCTCACGCACATGTTTACATTTTCTAAAAATTATGACATATTTCATATAAAGTTAAGGAGGTAATCAATATAGTTCCTGAATCTACTCCATAGAGGATCAACAACTTGAATAACCATAACAGAAGTCAAAACATATTTAAATAATCGAAGATTGGCAGCAGGTATACATCTGTCGGCAAAACCGACTGATACTTTTTAACTTTGTTATATTGGCTTTATTTATTTTTATTACATCTAGAGCTGATTAGAAGGATTGCCAAAAATCCACACCTAAATATAAAATATGCCCCACGTTGGGCGCCGTCGGCAATTGACACTACAAGGAATAATTGATTTTTTGCTGCTTCCTATATTTCAATTTTATGACCGTCTAAAATGGTCCGCAATGTTGATAATAGCCCCCAGGATAACGTACAGCAGGAATGACCGTTCTAGCGATGGCTAAAAAGCGGTTCTGAATTATTTTACTAATGATTTGAATTGAAAAACTAACAATTTGAAACGAGAAAGCCTCACTGACCAATTCCCCAAGCAACAACAAACAAGCCCTCCACATTATATTTGTCATTATTTCAAATTTTTCTAAACGATTTTTTTCTTACAGCTGTGAGAAAAAAGCCGTGTGTCCAGGGAAGTTATCTGAACACCGACGTAGTCCGATCTCGTGGCGCACAAACGACAAAAAATGAGATTTTCAAGTAAATGCTCTAAAAATATCAACAAATTTGCCATTTCTG